TTACTTAATAATATCTTATAAAGTTACATTCATTATAAAGAGCGTAAAAAGCGCTACAAAATACAAAAAAGGTTTTGCAAATAGCTTGCTTAATCGCTGAGTTATTGAATCTTAAATATAATATAAAATTTTAGTAAAATTTCTAATAAAAATTTTTTCATTCAACACATATTCAAGCATAATTGAATGTAAAAAACAATTATAATATTCACCAATACTTAGTTGCATAGCCTTTAGCCTTTATAACCTGTTTCCCATACTTAAAATAAGGTTTTGATATATACTAGTTGGAATTTTCTCCCACTCTTCTTGAAGAAATACAGTCAACTCACTCTCATTTCTTGGTGGTGGCTCCCGCTTTCTAATAGAGCGCTCTAATTCATCCCACAGGTGTTCAATAGGGTTAAGGTCTGGACTCTGTCCTGGCCATTTTATCACATTAATCTCTGAATTTTCAAAGAATGTCATTGTCATTTTGCTTTTATGAATTGGAGCATTGTCTTGTTGAAATTAATATTCATCAATTTCTTCTCCAAAGCTCTCCATAAATGGTACCAAATGTTTTTCCAAGACTTCTTCTATGTATCTTTGACTGTTGACTGTTTCTTCAAGTCTTATCAATGGTCCTAAGCAGTCCCAAGTAAAACAACCCCATACCATTACCCCACCACCACCATGCTTAACAGTTGGAACTATACAATCAATATCATATTTTTCTTTTTGCAGTCTCCAAACCCGAATTCTACCATCATTTTGGAACAAAGTAAAACGAGATTCATCACTCCATACCACTTTTTTCCAATCCTCATGTGTCCATTCTTTGTGTTCTCGGCACCACTGTAATCGATCTTGTTTGTTCTTTGATGATATGAACGGTTTTCTGGCAGCAACTCGACTATTAATCCTGCGTCATACAATGCTCTTTTAACTGTTGAAAGACTGACAACAATTCCAGATGATTGCACAAAATTTTGATGAACTTGTCTTGTAGTCTGTCGGCGATTGGATCGAACAATCATTTCAAGGTGACGTTTATCTCTGCTTGTTAAGACTGGTGGTCTTCCACTGCGTGGAAGAGGAGCTGTTGTACCAGTTGCACGATATTTTCAATAGTACGATGAACGGTTGTCTTTGGATGGCCGGTTTTTTCCTCAATTTCCCGTTCTGAGTGTCCGAACAACCACCCACCAACAATGACTCCACGCTCAAATTCAGTTAGTTTTTTTCGTTCAGCCATATTCACTAACAAATACAATAAGAGACTGGTATTTTTGTAAATGTGGTAATTGAAAGTATCGAACACTTCTCAAACAAATATTTAAGTGATAGTGTGCATGAATGCATATGCATGTGATTGGATTTGCAGTAACGATCTGTCAAAATGCATAGACTATTTTCAAATTCAATAACTCAGCGATTAAGCAAGCTATTTTCAAAACCTTTTTTGTATTTTGTAGCGCTTTTTACGCTCTTTATAATGAATGTAACTTTATAAGATATTATTAAGTAAATTGTTTTTTGGGACAATTTTAAACTTTGATATCGCAAAATTCTATTTACCTATTTTTGGTAGCGTAACGTGCTCTAAGTAAGTTTAACATTCTACTATTTAACCTACAATAAAATTTTGCAGAAATGTTCGCTATAATGTGCGCCAATAATGATATAAATTCTATGACTATAGGACGTCTGGTTATGGATTTATTCATAATTAATTGAAAATCGAAGGGGTGATCCGTGACTTTTGAGACGGCACTGTAGAATTAAAAATGACGTAAAAACAAAGCTTATAAATTTTCTTCAAAGTAATAAAGAATCAATTCTTTAGATATAAATAATACTATAGAGTATACATTTTATTTATATTATTGAAAAAGTACTGCCCGCGAATGATGACACGCGACTGAATACATCATTAGATATATTTACATTATATCGCATGTGGTGACGACAAAAATTTGCCACGATCGTCATTCGAGTGACGTGAAATCGCACGCAAGCCACCTGTATATCTTGATGGCTCTCGAATGACGATTCTACACGTCACTTGATGGGCAGACTATAAACGTCTCATCTTTGACGAGGCAAACGCAAAACGCACGTCACTCGAATGACGAGGCAAATGCAAAACACGCGTCATACCTAAGACTATAATAGTCTAATCTAAGTCGTTTTTTGTTTATATAAACAAAAAACGACTCTTTACCCCATCTCCATGAAGAAAATTTCGTCAAATTAAAAGACTTTTTTAAGATATCAAAAAGTAATCCGATAATATTCAGCGTAAAGATTCTATGACTCGGACGTTTGGGACATAGAGTAGACATACTGAACTGTGTTTATCACTGCGCCGTATCTTCGCTATCGTTGATATCACCAACCAATCACGTTTCAAAATTTCTTCTCTTCTCATGTTCTTTTCACCAGTCCCTTCGGTCGAAGAAGTGAGCAAATGGAAGCGAGCCAAAGTTTTTACGTACTTGCTGTCCAAAAAAGACGATCATTATAACGAACAAAGTCGCTGGTCAGCTTTCTTCGGTTAAATGCAGACAAACTTATGCGAGACGGGCTAAAACGAGGGCCAGCCGAAACAATTGCGGGCTTAGTGGGTAAAATCAAAGGCGAACCAGGAGGTAGATACCACGACTTCGTTAACTTATACTGCGTTCTTCATTACTAATGTGTGTGCTATGATGTCACGTTATCTCTTATTTATTTTTTGTCTTGCTTTACTATTTCCTATTCCTTCCTCTTTATAACTACAGCACAGAATCTTGGAGATGAAGATGATAAATTTGAAAATATACCACTTCAAACTATATTAATATCTTAAACGAACTTATCCAATGTAGACACTGTCTATTTCTCAACCACCAGAATACATTCCATCTCGCTGGGATCTATTAACTTGGCTTCAAAAACCACCTTCCAAGGCTGATCAATGTTCCTCTGACTATGCATGATGCTTACTTTCGGGTAAAGATTTCTCCAAAAATTTCAAGCCAATACTTTCTGAGTTCAAACCAAGCATCTGTTTGAGTGTGGGTTGAATTAATACAACTCATTGCCAACCCACCTGGCACAACTGAGCATTCATTTCACACATTTTGGGATGCACTCATTGTCAACCCTTTTAGGATTGGATATCCACAAGGAGTCTACAATAGAAACACGTCAATATAGACCTGATCTTTCATACTTGGTATTGGATGCCTGCCTTGTGAGAGGAGGGGAAAAGGGTCCTGATAATGATGATGATCCAGAAGAAGAACTAGTTTCAAAATTAACATGGACATATGGAAATTGCCCATATATATTTGGGTATTATGCAAAATCTGCTACAGTGACATACTGTTATTTGTACACTGAAA